TTTGTAGTTTCTTTTTTAATTATGTCGCCATGCAAATGCGTGTTGTAATTATAAATAGAAGCGTTTAAGAAAACATAATTGCAACGTGAAGTGGCGACGGCTCATGCTTTAAACACCTGTGCAACGTATTAGGCGTAGTTAAAGTTAGGGTTGCAACTGTTATGTATTTTCCGGTATTGACGCAGTGAAGTACTTAAAAATCGATTTGTAAAACAGTAGTTTATGATTTTACTCCTATACGTCATTAAAAGGAATCAAATATTTTGGGAGATGTTTAAATGGATAAGTGGGAAGGCTATGTAAGTATTTATTTTTCGTTGCAAAGAGCAAAGTATAAGGGACTATTTTTTATATCACGTTAGTTAACTCCTGTGTCGTGAAAGCTTTCTGAATAGGCTTGAAAACGAAAAGGAATTCAATAATACCTACAAGCAAACAATTCAACTCTAGTTCCTCAAAAACCAGTACCGTAAGGTCAGTGTGATAATTATGTTTAATAATGATTACTGTTTGTCGTTAATACACACTTCCAGTGAGTTAGAATGTTTATAAATTAAGGCTTCGTACTCAATTTCATTTTTAAGGGTTCGTTTTTCAGTGTCCGTTGTTGTGTTGTGATTTTGCCAACCATACCTGCATCGTTGTCACGTACATATGTGCGAGCTAAGTGCACGTGGCACATGACGACGCAACGCTCGCGTGTATAGCCCGTTCACCGTAAGATGTCCCCTGACTTGGGAAATGGCAGCATTGTCTACGGTGCTGCCAACAATATATGGAGCATTTACTCCACTTCGTGGTTGCTGGCAAAATTATCTAAACTTTAAAACCCTTGATTAATATATTTTACTTGCTTATTTAAATAACATACAGTTAGTTATAAGACTAGTAAGGTTGTGAATGATAACACAATTTAATTTTTAAATTATTTATTGATTTATTTTTTCCGACAATAATTATGGTCGAAAGGAACAATTCCAGACATACTCTTATCACTGCCACTTTCATAAACGTCGTCATCATCATCTGTCGTATCTGAATCTGTGCTGCTGTCATTTCCTAATTCAATTATGAATTTATCAGTAATATCATCCATACAGCCATCAAGTACATAAAACTTGTCTTCTAAATTTTTTACGTGTTCACACTGCTTTTGCCAATCCTGAGGGTTTATAGATGAAAAAGCTTCTTCAGTTAACTTCACGATATTCCCAGCTTTTTGGCCGACATTATTGCTGGTTACTCGTTTCTTCAAAAGACTCCACATAAACTCAATCGCATTTAAATCGCAGTGGTAAGGGGGGCAACCTAACCACTTTATGGCCATGAGAAATCAATAATTGGTCAGCCTCATAAATCGGCGCTTCTTTGTGCTCTTTTATAATTTCATAAAGTTCTGCTTTCAGCATTGTTGGTATATAAGACAATCCCTTATTTGTTATCCAATTTTGCATTTGAAGTTTTGAGGAACTCATAGTAGGTGCTTTATTTACTTGTACGGTACGATAGGGAGCGTTATCCATCACGACTAAGGTGTTCGGAGGCAAATTGGGTATAAGTTTCTCTGAAAGCCATTTTATAAAATTGGTTCTGTACATGTCGTCATGGTAGTCCCCAGATTTACTCTGTGATTTAAAAATCAATTGAGCATTAGGAATAGACCCTATTTCTCCACCTGCATTAATATTTATCCACCGCGTTCCAACAGAATCACTTATTAGTACTCCGTCCTCGTCATCTTTTTGCCAACATTTTTTCACTGCATACGATGCGTGAATGTATGTTTCATCTAAGAAAACTATTTGCCGACCATCTGCTCGATTTTGCCTCATAGTAACGATATACTTGCATCTTACGGTGAACGGGCTATACCAACTGGGACGTGTTACGGTGATACCGAGTGAGGTCGCAAGGTCGCCTGCGTGTAGACAGTGAAAAAAGGCAGTGAATAAATAAATAGTATAATTATTGTATTGCCATGTTAATATAGTAATAAATAGTTTAGAGCGGGGGAAATTCATGACAAAAAAAAACATCAACGACACTATATACATAGATTACATTCGGGATTCAGAACCATATTGTAATTTCAGGCGCTGATTTATTATAACATAGATGATGGTGAACATGAAAAAATCATTAGGAATAATATTACAAACTTATAACATATTTGATATGAATACGATATTTACGGTCTTATTTGTTTTTATTATACATATTATATCAATGATTTTTCCATTTGGTTTGCACGTGTTTTTTCATTAACATTTTTAAACTACCCATTTATTATTAATACGTAACTAGTTATCAGAAATCCTATCAACATATGCAAAAACTTTTATAATTCAAAGATTTTTATAGCGGATTACACACACTAGTATAATATTGAGTAATGCATTGGAAATAACTTTATAATAGTCATGTCCCGTAAGCGGTTGGCAAACAATAGACAGTTTTTGGTTTTAACAGCTTTGCAGACAATGTACCTAAAAGGACCTCGTAAATTGCTATCTGCTCATGCAGCGGTTTTATTAAACGGAACTCCCCCAAATTCATCGAAATCACATAGCAATAACTAGTATCCATACACCAATAAAATAAAAAGAGAAAACATTAGTAATAATTGTTAATAACAACAAACAACTAGCTATTTTATAAGAACAATAACAATTATAGAGGTTAACGAGCGCTATTCGAGCCCCGACATAAATCGCGCTGTTTATTTTGTTCGATCACTTCTATGCTCCTGTTATTAGTTTGGACAACTCAAATAACACATACTTTTTTTTTGGGCAAACTCAACAGAAGTTATCGACCTAGGACAATTGAGTTAACAATACTAAACCAATAAAATTGTCAGGGTCAGGGCTAATCCCGCACTATTTACGGTAGCAAGTTTTGACATAAATTGGTTAGGTACCGAGGTGATCTTGCCGAATGATATTTGGCCGAATATTCGGTTCGGTAAAAAGATATACCAAACTTACAGCCGAACAAGCGTATTTGGTGAAATCCGTATTCGGACCATCTCTAATTATAATGAAACTTCGCGAACGTAGCAACGCAAGGTGCCAAATCCAGGCTATAATTTATACAAAATATTTGAAGATTTTTTAAGGAAACGTTAAAATGTATAAAATAAATGGTCTTTGATTATTATTATCTTTAAAGATAATAATAATCAAAGACCATTTATTGTTATATTAATCTAACGATATTAATAGAACCTACACAGGCAAAGCCGATGCTGTCGTTAGTCGTTATTGTTGAATTTATTATTGTTTTGTATGATGTATATATAATTATTTTAGAAGATAAACAAATAAAAGAAATTCGATGTGCATAACTCTGAGGGACACGACGGGCAGTTCTAGTTATTCGAAAAACGTGCCATTAAACTCGTTTAACTTTGAATTGAGGCGCTGTCGGAGAGTTTTACCAATATTTGCCTCGCCGCCCGCATCCCACATTAAATGTTGAACTTTGTCAATTATCAGCCAGTAGCCCCTTCGGATGCTTGAATACTTCACTACTAACTCTATTTCGCACTTTACAACGCTCCGATATGTGCGGAATGTTGCTGATATTCAGCTACTAGGTCAGCAATGTGATGAAATTTCTCATAAAATTTTACATTAAACAAAACCTATTTCACGGACTTTATCGCGTTTAATCGATTTATTTTTACTTACTTGCTAATCGTGACAGCTATGACGAATATCCCCCATAAGATATGGGGCAATCTTGAATCGACTAACGGCCGGTCTCAATTTCATACAATCGGTTATAAGTAGATAGCTACCAAAGGTAAACAGTTAAGTTTAAACTATCTGTTACTGTCGTCTCAATAACGTAACGTTAGATAGCTTCCCCGAGGTAAAAGATAGATAGCAATCAATCAATCAATCAATCAATCATTTTATTCGTTTTCACAGGTAACAAGGTTGACAATGTTATAATTTTATAGTACCTCCGTGAAATGCTTCAACAGCATACAAATTTACATATCCATACATCATAAAATTAAATATATATAAAAAAAACAGATCAAAGTAATAAAATTAAGTGAAGTCAAAATAAAATTATTAAATTACATATTTAATTTTTTTACATTATAATAACATTTATCTATAAGAAATTTACTTAAAATAGATTTAAATTTTTGCACATTATAACATTTTATGTGATCAGGTAATTTATTATATAATTTAAGGGCCATTTCAACAACACTTTTTTTCATAAGGGCAGTCTTGCATACATTCGTCTGGATTTTTTGCTTCCGAGGACGAAGGTTAACTAAAGATGGTTGTACTCCTATATTAAAAAAGTTCCGGATTACACTTTACAAACATACACGATTCTAGTATATAAATACAGGGTAATGTTAATTTCTTAAGAGATCTAAAGTATGGTATGCAACTTTCTGTAGACTTTATCCCACATATAGCTCGAATACATTGTAGCTCATGATAACTTTGGTTAACGCGTCCCTCCTAAGCGTTTTGTTTTCCCCTTCGATGTAAATTGCGTCACGTTTTGCAATAAAATATTAAGATTTATTTAAAATATTATTATTATTATAAAATGTTTTAAATTATTGTACATACTATTTTTAATATAATATTGGCAATTATTCATTAAACACGTTTCTAAATGAAGGCTAGCATCAAATAATAACAAACTTTTATCTTAAAAAAATGAAGCAACGAAATGCAACGCTTGGCGTTCGGAATTGACACATTGGCTAGACATTGACAGTTTGTGTTTCAAACATCACACATCAAACATCAAGAAGCTTTAGTAGAAATAACTTAGTTAAATTTTGTTTATGTGTAGCAGTATTTTATCAGCAATAAGCATTAATATGGTTCAACAAATACTGTAAGTATTGTGATTTCTTTGCCGTGTTATTTACATTTATAGAAATGTAACAAACAAAAGCTTGCATCTTTGTCTAAAATCCGCGGCAAGTGTAAGACATCTATAAAATTTTGTTTCAGATGAAGGCAAGGGCCCTTGGAAAGGACGAAATACTCTTCCTGCTTGACTTGATTTCCAAGCAAAAAGTTATTACTACCAAGGCAACGAATGCTACAAATAACAAATTAAAGGAAGAGGCTTGGAAATCCATAGCGCAGGAGTTTAGTACAATGGCAGGAGAATTACGGCGTCCTGAACAACTACGCTTAAAGTGGGAAAACTTAAAAAAGTCGGCAAGGAAACGCAATTCATTGATAAGACAAAATAATTTAAACGTTTGTAATAAGTACATACATCAAATATTTCGTAACATTTTGTGAGATCTACCTAACCATCTTAGAACATTTATATGTATTATTTCTATTTATACATTATTGTTTGCAGACCGGTGGTGGAAAAATGTACATCCCTCCCGATGAAGCACTGGACCGTGTAACATCTATGTTGGGTGCAACATGCACGGGGTTCACTGTGGAGTTTGGTGGTGACAGGGAAAAAAATGATGCCACCAGATGCGGTTGTGGAATTCATTGATTTACAATCTTTGCCGGAGCATTCAGAGACTATTAATAGTGATTTGGTGATGGGAGGTAGTGTTAGTGCTGAGTGTGGTGGTGATAGTGAGAAAATTTTCACATCAAAAAGATTTATTTTTAATAATCCCTAAAAACCCTGTAAGTTATATTTTACCTCAGTTGTTAGTTGCTACCAAACAAAACAGACCATCTCTATGGTCTAGTGGTGTGAACTCGCATTGCATGTTTTTAACAACTTTGTGTTTTTTTGTTGGTTCGTCAGGAAATCTTAAGGCTGATCACCCAATTGTTTGATGAACAAGCCAATGTGTGGAATAGGCATGTAGTACAGTTGGTTATGTGTAATTTCTAATGTGGTTTGGATATTAGTAGTTACCAAAATTTTTATGCCGTCTCCTGTGCCTGATCTCTGTGGTCATCAGTCATCAAATCTATCAAACTAGGAGAGTGATTTTACACATTGAGAATTTAACTATGTTTTTTTATTTTCACAGTAAGGAAACGCCAAAAGCCATCTGAAGAACTACAACGGGCTCAGATAGAAAGGAGTTAGCCATGGCTGCTTATTTTGAAGCCAAAACTAAAGTAGTTAAACTTGAACAAATAAAACTACAGTTAGAAATAGAAAAACTAAATGAGTGACATGTGATTAATATAGTGCCAATGCTAAGATTGTGCAAATAGTGACAGTAAGGTGTGTTCCTTAATAACTTGTGTAATGTTTTTATGAGGTTTACTATAAAATAAAATCTATTTTGTGCATTGATTTTTATAAACCTTTTTGAAATAAAATAATTATTGAAATAAAGCACATTTACTCCAGTATAAATTAACATTATTTATACTTTAAAATTCTAATATTATTAAACATTACTTACACACTAAATTTCTAAAATAATTAAACATTTACACCCTATAATAATTATTAATTAGTTCTTGTCTGACGCTGTGATTTTGATGACCTATCCCTTCAGCATAGGTAATGTCATCTGATTCATGTGGCATTGTAACTTCTGGATCCACATCCCTTATATTATTTAATCTGCAGATGTTGTGTAACACAGAGGTGGCAATAATAATGGCCTGTGTAGTCTGCATACTACACACAATGCACGGATTTTCAGATAGAGTATAGGAAAGCGCCTTTTCCACACACCAAAACATCTGAAAAGTTCAAAGTATTTTACAATATACTCATGAAATTTTTGAAATAAAATATTAATAAATTTATATTAATATTTACCTTTCAATAGTATTTCTAGTCTTTATATGTGCTTCATTGTAACGATTATCTGCAACAGATGAAGGGGTGGGCAAAAAAACCGTCCCCAATAAGCCATCTATTGCCAAACGATCCCTCTTCACATTGCACTGAAAATAAATGACAAATATTAGTCATGTTTATGTGATAACCTTTTAATAATCTTATAGATACCTAAGTACCTACTTACTTTTTAGCATAGAGTTGTTAAATATAGTAGCATCATGAGCAGAACTAGGCCAACGGGCAACAACATTCATAAATAACAATTCTGCGTTACAGACTCCTTGTACATTAATTGAAAATATGCCTTTTTTATTTATAAATTCTTCTCCCGTATTTGAATCTGTAGAGATTTTGATTCCATTATTAGGCGTAATCTATATAAACGAATGAATCTATACTTACTAATATTATAATAAAGAATTCTTTGTATGTTTGTAGGTTTGTGATCTAATTCTGGCCAAGTATGGCTTAAGTTCTAGGTTTGAGTTTCAGATCACTAGATAACCTTCGACAAAGCTTCTGCTTCTGCCTAGATCTACTTATTATAAATATTTATTTATTTGGCAATACTAACCAGGTGACTGTAAGGTAACATGTGTGTAGCCAATTGCGCCAAGAATTCTTGGAAATCCTGCGATTTCATAAAAGGCATTTTGGGTATTGCTTAATGTCTTCACATATTGAGGGTATAATCCAGCTATAGCCCGAGATAAATGATGCACAATTTGGCTGGCTGACGCTTTCGATACACCAATAAAGTCTGCTACTGATAAAAGCATTGTTCCCAGTGCGTAAAGTCTCAAGGTCAATAACAACTAACGGTGATATTCCTTTATTCCTAAAATGTTACAATAATTTTCATTCATGTTTAGTGTCAAAATTAATGTTTGGTAGTATATTTCGACCATAAGTACATTTGTAACTAAATTTTCTTCACAAGTTCCTTTACTCACCGCGAAGAAATGACTTTTAAGGCTGGTCTTATTTTCAACAGTACTATAACTCATCCACGGAAGTTTTATTTAGTCTAAATCTATACGTAAATTCGGAGTCAGAAAATTCACTTCTGTAATTTATTCGAGTATAAACTCGGCAATTTTCGGTATGTACAACACCTTCGGAATCAAAAACACCGATCTCATACATTTCGTTATCACTTTCATCACTAAACAAATCCATTTTTTAGAAACAAAATAGCTTTTATTTATTTAAAAACACAACAAACTCTCAAAATTGGGCGATGGACAAAACTCTGACATCTGGTAATTTGAACTATCGTCAGTTAACTGCCAAAACGTTATTGAAACACTCAGCTATTTTTTTTCTATGAACCCACTTAACTCAGGTAGTCGGTAAGCCCTACGAAGAGTAGTTCAATGTGATGGTTAAATATTTCTATCTATCTTCGATTATTGAAAGGGAAATATTTAACTATAGATACCAATGGTAGACATTTTAACTTCCAGTAAGGGATTATTACTAGGGTTATTGAGATCGGCCGTATGACATAGTTAACGAATGATTCTCGCAACTCGTCACGGTATTCATTCGTTAGTCCACGTGAATTAAGGAAAATTAAAAGAAAATTAAAATCAAAAGACAAATATAACTTGTGTTAATTCAGAGTATCCAAATCTGTTCAGTCGTTGTGGCGTGAACGAGTAACAAACATCTTGAATCTGTTTGAATCCGATTAGGCATATTTATACACTGGATTAAGCATTAGAATAAGCTTTATTCCGAAAACCTATAGTACAGAAAAAAATCGCATTTATACTTTATACTAATGTATATGCCATCAAAAAAGAAGTTGTGTACATACCCGCACAAGTACTCTGTTCGATGCACTTTGTTTCATCCCAATTTCAATGTTTGCCTAGTAAACATCGTAAATTAGTCTGTAATGCTTTACCAACATTATCATTAACAGATTCTGTAAGTAATATTCAAGTAGTAAAAAAGCAATCCTAAACTTTAAAGTATGGTTGCGCGGAAAACCATTCGCGTTTTTTATTTTTGACGGTAGGAACTTGTAGAATCATTATTTCCTTTCCAAACAATATCATCCGTACCCTCCTATCGACACATCGGGGTGGTGGGGTGGGAGGGGAAAGAAGACGATTCTAGAACATCGCGTAATCACCCGAGCCGAGGATATATAAGACACGCGCGACCGATGCGCGAGCCTCTTCTCCCGCCGCAGTCGTCGTTGAACCAACTCTTCTCTCCTGACGCACCACTGGGGCCCCAGAAGTGTCTGTCCAGAGGAGGTTCCGGAAGTCGCCGCTATAGTGATCGACAGGAAGAAGAAACCCCGGTGAGTCAATACTCCTTAATTATACCTGCTTGCTAATAATTTAACCCGCTCCAATCTGTGTTTTTTTCCTAGTCAAGCAGGATTCCTTTCATCGATTCGACAAGTAATAGTTTAGTTTAGGGAAGAGCGAGTGCATTGTACCGCATGCTATAGTAGTCGCTTTACGTAAACGTAGAAGCAATCGCATATACAGTCCACTTTAGTTAATATCTCGCGTAATAGGTTTGAGGTTTGACCGGGGAACTAGATTTTCGGCAGCCTTAAACACGTGGCTCCACCATTTTATGGTCACTTCGGCAGGATCTGGATTGGTGTTTAGTGGTTATCCAACCATTTTCTGGTCGAATTATTAAATTAATTGTTTAGATAACGCACTCTAATTTATAGAATAGACTTAAATAGTGTTCGTTTAAATTAAAATTTTGATTTGTTACTCGCAAACAGAATTATTCATTTAATAGCGCTCGTATTTGGTTAAATTTAAAGCTTATTAAATAATTGAAACGGCGTGATAGCAACCGTTTGATACGCTTACCCCACAATTTTATAAAATTATTAGGTTTAGCAAACGACGCGTAGCCTTGACTGCATCGGGCGCTCGATCTGATTACGTAATACGGCACGCCGAGTATTCATCCTACGTCGTTTATGCGTGTGAGATTAATTGTGATTAATATAACTTTATTATAATAATTTAAAATGGCAGTTAGTGGAAGTGAAATCAAAATTAAAACGCTTTATGCCAAGAGGGACATACTCTTTTCGCGTATGCAGAATATAAGTGATTATATAAAGAACATTCATATAGAGGCAGTACGGGAGGCCTTTTTTAAATGAAATCGAAACGATAGATAATTTGCGGACAGATTACGAAAGAATATTAGATCAAATTAATCATTCGGAACTACAAACCGACCCGAAATACATAGTGAACTACCAACCGCTGCTGGCATTCGAAGATATGTTGTGTCGCGTGAAGAGAACCGCAAAATTGCTACAATCTCAAGGTGAAGCGAAGCCTGAAATGCAGGTACGCCCTCGTGACTCAATTAGGTTACCGCCAATAGATATTCCGGTATTCAATGGTGATATTAAGACGTGGCCCTTCTTCTTCAGTAGTTTTCAAAACAATATACACAACAACCCATCGTTATCGGACGCTGAAAAATTATATTACTTAATTAGTAAACTTAGTGGCAGAGCACAGTCGATCTGCTCGGGTTTTACACCTACAGCAAACAATTACGTATTAATATTTGAAACGCTTAAAACTAAATATGAAGATAAGAGAATGTTAGCTTCCGAATATTTGAACCAGATATTCGATCTTAAACCTATATCATCCGCGAACATCAACGGCTTAGAGCAGTTTCTCGATAAATTTGTGGCATCGGTGGCTGCACTTAAGAATTTG